GTGGGGCGGGGTTCCGAGCTCGCGCCGGACGGGGCAGGGGAGAGGGCAAGAGGCCCCCAACGGCAGCGCCGTCCCTCGGAGCCCTGCCGGGCTTGCCTCTGCCGACGTCGCAGCTGGGCTGCCTGTGAGGCCGCGCTGACCCATCTGCTCCCACAGCGCTTTCTCCGGCCGGTGCTGCGGGCGTGCTGTGCGCGCTCCTCGCGCAGGGCGTCCCTTCCTGATTCCTTCAGCACACGGGAACAGCGCGCAAATCTGAAGCGCTTCGAAGGAATCGTTGTCTCCAGAGAGAGCTCGTCTCCTGGAGAGGGAACTCTTTAAGACTTGTCCAAAACACGTTTTAAAGTCGAACAGGAAGGAAAGTCACTGTTGAGAGCAGTTAACGCAGTTATTCAAGCTTGCAGACTTTTATTTAACCCTTCGACACACCTGCCCCCAGTCACTTTTTCAGCTAATGAAACTGCCCTTCCTTCTCAGACCGGTTGAGAAATGAACATTTATTTGCAAACTTCAGAAAAGTTCTGTATCATTTTGGGAACGGCTTTCTTCGGAGAAGGTCGCATCCCATTTCCATAGTGAGCTACTCATAGGTCGCATCCCAGTTCCATGGTGTTCGCTTTATTAGCCAACCCACATCACACATACTCCGTGGTAACATTAGCTTCTTTTTTTTTAATCTTTAGTAACTTAAATACTTTTGGACAATGAAGCATTCGTTTTTTGATACATAACGTTTTGATGTTGGAGTTACCAACGCTCTTATAAAGTCTTCTAAGGCAGTCACCTCCTGCAGGTGCTTATTTGTATATTAGGAGAAGAACATCCTAGCCAGAAAAGCCCGCGTGGGCGGCCCTTGATTCATTTCCTCTCACATCTTGGGACTGCCAACTGAAAGCTTTGACAATAAATATAAAGATGAATAGAATTGAGAGTGTAGAAATAAGCTCAAATATCTGTGGTCAATTGATTTTGACAGGTGCTAAATACATTTGCTAGAGAAACGAGTCTCTAATAAACTGTCCTGGGAAAATTACGTTTCCAGATGCAGAAAAGTAAGACAGGATTCATTTGTTAACACCATATATAAAAACATTCAAAATGGATTAAGAACCTAAGTGTGCAAACTAATACCATAAAATTCTTAGAGCAAACAGAGGCAATGCTGTTTGGCCTAGCTTTCAACAATGGATGACCTAATATAAGTACAAATAGCAAAAGAAAATAAACAAATGGAGCCTTGTACAAATGTTAAAAACAGAACATACAATTGTTAGTGAAGATACAAGGGAAAAAAATCATATCTATTGATGGTTGAAATACAGCACAAGTATTACAGAAAATAGTGGGGTATATGTTTTGCTGTATATCTGCTCAATAACAACAAATAAAAGTTTAGAATAAAAATCAATGCTATGATTTTGAGAGAACAGCATTTTTATAAGGACTATGTTTTATAAAGGAGTCCTGATGACAGTGGTTAGGAGTTGGGCTGCTAGCCTCAAGGTCAGCAGTTCAACCCCATCAGCTACTCCTTGGGAGAAAGACTTTTCTCCTCCCACAAAGAGTGACAGCCTCGGAAACCCACAGGACGGTTCTATCTACCTGTAGGGTCTCTATGAGTCAGAATTGACGCAATGGCAGTGGATTTGGTTTTGGTGTTTTATAAAGTTGTATCTTATAAGGGTTGTTTTACATGGAAGTGAACCTTAAGGTGGTTTAAATGTGTTGTAGGGAAAAGGAAAAAGAACCAGGCAACCTCTCTAAGCTTTTGATGGAGAAATCCATGCACTATAGTTGACCATATTACAAAGATCAAAGCCTCTTGTTCTAGGAGTCTAGAAGCAATAGCATTTCCCAGTTTTATTGGTGTTCACTTGAATTTTATTGGTATTTTGAATGGGAGACTTTAGAATAAAGGATAGGTTGTATAAAGGGTAAAATTTGCCCAAGGTTATACATTTTTTGAAATGAAGGTAGAAAATAAGAGTCGAGAGGTGTGGGGTTAATCTGTAATCATTCAACTGGTAATACTCTTTGAGTATCTGTATGTATATGTATGGTTCTCGGTACTGTAATCAGTTAAAAAGCTATTTAGGATGTGTCCCTACCCCCTCTCGGGGAGTGTACAAAATAACTATAGTACAAGATCAAGGAGAACAAGAGATCATGCTTCTCTTGTGTATTATTTGGGAACTGGTCTTATTTCTCCTATCACTTTATAAACTCCTTGGGGGCTTCCTCATCTTTTCTTCTTCCACAGCTTCTCTCTTGTATATAAAAATCACTTTATGAATATTTGTGGATCCAAGCTACACCGAAGGCAAGAAGAAGTCGTTTTTTAGCTAGGCCATTCAGTTGGTCAAGAAGATTGACCAAAAGTAGAAGGTTTGAATGAACACTTAGGGAACTGTGTTGCAGGTAGCCCAGGTTGACTGGGGCATTAAGTCCGAAGAGTTTGGGGAGAGAAAAGTGACCAAAGGAAGTTGTGCCCCAACTGAAGAGGTCTTGGAATACAAATGACAGAAATCCAACTTAGGGAGGAACCATTACATATTTTTAACCTCGGTGTGGCATTGTAAAATGGTTCTTTAGGAAGATGCACCTCACCTGTGTTGCATGGAAAAACTGGAAAAGGGTAAGAGTCTAGAGATGGAGCGATCTTGTCGGGAAGGTCTCAAGGCCAGAGAAGTACTGAGCAGTTCTACATTAGTAGCAAAAGAAACCTGGGAGCTGGGGGCATGAAAAAGGCCAGCGACGAGTAAAATTCACAGTTTTGGTTTCTTATTGGAACACTGATAATGAATGGATTTATCTTTGAAATCAAATTGTTGGTTATTTCGCTATCTAGTTTTTTGCAAGCTTTTGCCGTCCTGTTTCCTAGCTGCTTCTCTAACTAATATTTAAAAATGTTGACATCTAAGAATTTCAGATAATCATGTGAATGCTACGTGGGTAAATAGTTTGGGCCGATACATATTTCATGGAATAAGTCATGTGTTTTTTCCATTTCCTTGTTGTGTATTTTGTTTTGGGATCCTCGTTAGCACCTTGACCAGCCTGCAGTTCCACTGTCTGGCCTGCAGTGGCAGAGACGAGACCTGACGCGGTGCGGTCCATAGGGCATCACCTAGAGTGCCCCAGTGACATTATAACAGACTGGGGAAAGAAAATCTTACTTAACAGTTTTTACGTCATCCTTCTGCCTTAATGATCATTTTAATTCCTGGACTGATTTTGAAAAATCTTGACATGTCAGCTACGTAAATGCATTGACCCTAAGTTTATCAATCTTAGTACCTGAATAAGTGTTTTTGTGGAGGTCTATCACATTTCAACTTGAAATTTAAACATTTTGCCCAACAATCACGTTACTTATCTGGTATAGCTCGTGTGCCATTCAGAAAAGGTGTTCACTATTCTCCCCCTTTGTGGGCCAGCCTGCGCGTCAGCAGAGGGATTTGCTAATGATCCCGGTCCTCTTTGAGGCTGTGAGGTACCTTCAGTGGTCATTTAGGGTACACATAGCTAGGGCTGTCCAACTAGAACTTGGTAAAGCGCCTTATGAAACATGCTAGAATGAGAAAACTATTGATTTCTTATCCTTTTTCCTGGAGAAGGCGGGCATGTAATAGAAAACTGTAAGAACACGTAAATTTGGCATGCACTTCTGGATTGCACTGGATGTTCTTAAGGCTATCTAGAAATTCCATCTAGATCAGTGGTTCTCAACCTGTAGGTCACGACCCCTTTCTGGGTCAAACGACCCTTTCACAGGGGTCGCCCGATTCATAACAGTAGCAAAATGACAGTTATGAAGTAGCAATGAAAAGAAGTACATGGTTGGGGGGTCACCACAACATGAGGAGCTGTATCCCAGGGTGTCCGCATGAGGAAAGTTGAGAACCACTGCGTCTAGATCTTAAGAGCCTTGTCCACTCCGATTGTTTCCTCCTTTAAGCCAAGTTGCTGTCACGTCACTTCCAACTCATGGCAATTCTGTGTATGTCAGAGGAGAGCTGTGCTCCTCCATCAGGTTTTCTTAGCTCTGCTCTTGATGGATGCAGGTTACCAGGCCTTTTCTTCTATGGAACCACTAGGAGGGTTCACACCACCAACCTGGAGGCTTGTACCACCTAGGACCACCCATCTCAGAGACGGAAGTCATTCCTTTTCAAGTAAACATCATTTGGTCTGTTCCCCTTGAGCCACCTGGGCTCCTTTTTCCTACAGTCTTCACCAAGCCAAACCCCTTGTTCTCAAGTCAAATTTTGACACACAGTGACTCTACAGGATAGAATTCACCTGGCTTGTAGGGTTTCCAAAGCTGTAAATCTGTCTGGAAGCACGCTGCTGCATTTTCCTCCTGCTGAGTGGCTGGTGGGTTTGAGGCACCAGCCTGTTGGTTAGCTGCTGAGAGTTTAACTACTGCACCACAGGGTGGGTTTTCCACTGCAGTCAACCTTGGAAACAACTCCCTTCCCACTGAAATGCTGTCCTTCCTCAGACATAAGGGGTCCTTTGGGTCACAAGGAACAGTCCTATAAGAATTCTCCCATGGTCTCCAGTTGTCTTCTTGCTATAAATGTACACCCCTTGGCTATTTCATTCACAAACAGAACTTTCTTTTTTTTAACTAAAAGAACCTAAGCGAGATTTAAGGAGCTTTGTTGTAGGTTAAGTAGGTTAACTTAACTAGGTTGAATGTTGGGCTGCTAACCACAAAGTTGGCAGTTCAAACCCACCAACCACTCCAGAGGAGAAAGATGAAGCTACGTGCTTCCATAAAGATTTGGTGTCTTGGAAAACCCGGATAGAGTTGTTGTGAGTTGAGATCTACCGAATAGCAGTAGATTTCGTTTTTGAGCAAGATTTGGAGTCCTTGAATAGTGGAAATGATTAACCCTCTTGGCTGCTAAGCAAAGAATTAGAGATATGAGAGAAAGTCCTGGCAATCGATTCTGAAAAATTAGAACCCCATTGAAACCCCATAAAGTGCAGTTCTACTTTGACACGCGTGGGCTCATCGTGAACCAGAGTCAGCTCAGCTACATTTATCTAGGTCTCCTCATGAACTTGGATTTCATTTTGGATGGCCTGTTAGAGTGCTCTTGCAGCCATCACTCACAGGCCTGCTCAGATTGGGCTCCTGCTTTCCCGAAACAGCATCACCATCCTTGCAGTTGCTCAGGCTCCACATCTCAGCATCATCTTCAACTCTGTCTGCCTTTTCTACTGCAGTTCCTTCCCCCTTGTGGCAATCAACCAGCTCTGTTGACTTTTCCTTTTCCATAATCTTCTGCGTCTTTCTCATGCTCACTACTTAGTTACAATCATTTCCATCTCTTATTAAGATCATTGTGATAGTTGCCTAGCACTGTCTTTATATTTCAAAGCATCTCTCTGCTATGACTTTTACCAGAGTAACTTCCTGTCTGACTGTACAAGCTAACTCTATTCCTTAAAAACCTCTGACAACTTCATGTACTATTCAAAATAAGACATTTTAAAGGCCCTCTACACTCTATATCATTTTCTGATGATGTATTGCATAGTCATCCATAAGCCATTCCTTTAAACATATCTGAGTGTCTGGTCTCAAAGCCTTTGCTTGAGCTATGGAGCGTGCCTCTCTCTTCCTTCAGCATTCTGCCACAAAACCTGCCAAGATGGACCCCATTAAAATGAATACTTTTCATCTCCTTTCTGCTGGTATTTTGGACCTCTGTCTTAGCATCTAGTACATTCTGTTCTGTGTTATAGTTTTTTCTGATATTTGTCTCTTCAACAAGGTTGTGAGATAATCCATTTCTTTCATGTAGATGGCACTCATTAATGTTCACTGAACTTAATATAATCCAACCCTCTCATTTTTTAGATGGGGAAATTGCAATCTAGAGAGGTCCCACAGTGGTAGAGCCAGGGCTAGTCAGGTCTTCTGTCCTCTAGTTCAGAAGTTTTCCTCCACAATAACCTGTGAGCACTGTTGCGTATCTTATGAACATTTAGTCTGTATTGAGGTTGGACAATTAACTATTGTACAACAAAACAAACACCTATTTATAATTCCTTTTGTTTGTGTAAAGCATGTTTTATTTGAAATCTTTTTACGTAGGAAGGTCATAATGTATTTCTATTCTGTTTTCAGCTTCATGTTTCCAGTTGCAAGTGGAATAAGGCCCCCTCAAGGTATGCCAAAGCTTAGATGTTGAACTTTTATTTCCTACTGTTATGTTATTTTGGTTTTTATTTAGACTAAGGGAGCAAAACAGTAAGTTCGATTGCTGCCAAAGAGAGTAAAAATGTCTTACAAATTTGAACCTATGTGACAGTTACCCTTAAAAGTTCTTTAAAATTGTGTAATTTAGGAGAGTAGTAAGCATCTTCACTTCTCCCAAACTTTCCCAAACAGTAGATTGATAGATTGTTGTCTAACCTCAGAGATGGGAGAAGGTCTTTCAGGACAAGAATTTGAGCACGTGACAAAAATGAAACGAGCTGCCCTTTTCTTAATGATGTCTTCTTCTAGTCCTCAGCGAGGAGTTCCAAAGGGCAGGTGTCACATCTGCTGCATGCTAGTTAGTGTACCTTCAGCACCCAGCGTGAGATGGCACATAACATGTTCTCTGTAGAAGTCTGTTGAATGAGGAAATTAGCAGCTCCAGTTAGTCTCTGCTGCCAAATTGACTTTATGTGAATGTGGTCTGCCTATTTAAAAGAAAAGCATAAACCAGTTGTCACGTCCACTCTAATCCATTGCAACCCTGGGATCAGACTAGAGCTGTTGCTCCAGAGGATTGTCAGTGGCTGAGTTTTCAGCAGTGGATTGATAGGCATTTCTTCCAGGGACCTCTAGGTGAATCTAACCTCCAGCTTTTTGGCTAGCAGCTAAGCACGTTAATCATTTGTACCACCCAGGGAATCTGGTCTTATTATAATCACACACGTTTAAAAAACAAACTTTTTGTACCATGTAAGCCAATGAACTCTCACTTTTATTCCAAGACATTTCTCTCCTAGGTATGCCCTTTTCCTCTTGATTGCAGACACGGGCTCCATCATGCCAATTGGAGCCCTATCTTCAAGTCAACACTAGTGAAGGGCTATAATCTTGCCTTGTGCTACTGTGTGACTAGGACACAGCATTGAAGGAGGGACATATCTGCTCTTGGCTCTCTAGGTTTTTCTGCTTACTGCACACACCCCAGCCCCCAGGTGCTTCTGAAAATTGGTGCATCTCACAAAGCAGTGTTGACGGGTTGTGGTAGACCTTTGATAGAGAAACACACTCCTAGGATACTGATAGAGATGGAAGATAAAGAGCCGCTCAGCAGCAGGTGGCCAGTGGCTCATTACTGACTTTGTCTCCATTTATAATCAGCAGGGAGGTTGAATTTCAGGTAAATTTTCCCAAGGGTCACTTGTATTCTGTTCATTGTGTTCCCATGTGTGCATTATTTAAGCTGTCTGTAGTTAGAGGTGTGCCGGATTTAGATCAAGCCATTTGGGACCTTTTGTTCTTTAGAATAGCACTAACAGAGTTCAATGTTTATTTCCCTGACTTATTATTTTGCAATTTTACAAAGTTATAGGATAAAAAGAGCTCTCAAAAGGTGGTTTGGTCTCACCACTACCACCCCCCCACCACCCCCTTTCTCGAATTGTTTGTAGATTTTGCGTGTTAGAATAAATATTGAATGATGCAGGAAGCATCAACAGAAAATGGAAATAATGCAGAGTCACCACATCAATTAGAATTGGCCCATGTTCAGCAATTTTAGTAGGTAGCACATGACCAATTGCTGATGATGTTGAAGGAAGAAGTCCAAGCTACACTGAAGGCACGCATGAAAAGCAGCGCTCCAGGAATTAACAGAATATCAACGGAGATGTCTCCATAGATGACTCGGTGCTGGAAGGGCTCACTCATCTATGCCAGGGAGTTTGGAAGGCAGTTACCTGGCCCATGAGCTGGAAGAGATTCATGTTTGGGCCCATGTCTCAGAAGGGTCATCCGCAAAATGCAGAAATTATTAAAACAGCATCATACATAATATATCATACAAGTAAATTTTGCTGAAAATAATTCTAAAATTGCTACAGCAGTACATCAATAGAGAACGGCCAGAAATTTAAGTCAGGTTCAGAAGAGGATGTTCAAAGAGGGATATTGTTCATGTCAGATGGATCTTGCCTGAAATCAGAGAATACCAGAATGATATTTCCCTGTGAGACATAGTTTCCGAGTGCATCAAGGTCAATTGACGTAATTAACGTCCTGAAAGACAATACATTCTACATTGGTGAGTAGTAACTGGGGTCTTAAAAGCTCATGAGGAGCCATCTAAGGTGAAACTATTGGTCTGTCCCCATCCAGAACTAAAAAGAGTAAAGGAAATTAAGATAAGGAAACAATTAGTTCAAAGGACTACTGGACGGCATGAATCCCAGCCTCTACTACCCTGACACCAGAAGAAGTCGATGGTGCCTGGCTGTCATAGCGGAGAGCCCTGAAAGGGATCCTGATAGAGTAGGAGAGAAATATGGAACAAAACTCAGAGTAACAACAACAGAGACTAGATAGACTTGCTGGTCTGATAGAGACTTGTGTTATCTCTGAACTATGGCCCTTAGACAGTCTTCACATTGGAAACTGAACTCACTGTGACTTTTAGCCAAACATTAGACAGGCTTGTAAGGTGAACAATACACTTTGTTTGGTGGTTGATGGCCTTTGGAGGGTACATTTATAGGAGAGGACTTCAAAAGGTCATGGAAAAAATTCAATCCACTTTTAATTCCATTTTCCCATGAACTTTTGTAAGGCCCCTCATATTAGTTATTCTTGTAGTAAAAGGGAAGAGTTCATTAGGTAGTTTTTCAGATGAGAAACTAAGGCATTGAAAGAAATGAAGTGGCCCATGGTTTCAAAGCTCGTAAGTGGCATTTTGAGTCACCTTTTAGATTTTATGCTCCTGTTACTGTATCCATGATCCATTCCTGAGAAGCAAATTACTCCAAAACGTAAAAAACAGTAAACTTTTATTATTCTACACTGTTTATCTGTGAATCACGAATTGGGGGAGTTTGACTGGGTTGTTGAGGCTGAGTGTCATGAGATTGCTAAGTGTCAAATGGGACCGGAGTCATCTGAAGGCTTGCCGGTGCTAGATGGAGGATCTGCCGCCAAGATGGCTCACTCAACGGATGGCAACCTCGTGGTGCCTTCCAGCAGGAGGACTCAGCTCCTCGCCACCTGGCCTTCTGCATAGGACTGCTGGCGTATCCTGCTAACGTGGGAGTGGCGCTCCCCAGAGCCAGTGCGTCAAGGGAGCAAGGACTAGTCTGCGGCTCTCAATACTTACCTTTGGACGTCACACACTTTCCTCTCCACAGTGCCCTGTCAGTGATGTAGGTTAACCTATTCATTGCAGGAGGAGAAAACACAAGGGAGTGAATACCAAGAGGCAGAAGTCATTGGAAGCCACCTTGATGGCTAAATGCCACTATTACGCCGTACTGTTATTTTTAAATGAAAATCTTTCATGTAAAATGGATTTTTAAAAGTTCTGCCTGATGGGTATTAAGATATATGTAATTTTTTCTGGGGGCTCTTACAGTTCCTGTAACAATCTATACATCAATTGTGGTACATTTTACAGATAAAAGTTTTATAACTTGCCTAGGATCGCACGGCTTATGTAAGTGATGGAGTTGAAATTTAACCCAAACTCAGAGTTACTGACTGCAGAGCCTAACTGCATTTTCCAGTGTCTTGTGCTGCCCTCCAAGAGCCCTGAAGGGAGAGTGGATTACTTGTTTGGCTGCTAACTGCAAGTTCAGCAGAAAATGAGACTTGCTGTTCCCATACGATGTACAGCCTCAGAAACCCACGGTAGTTCTGCCCAGCCCTGTAAGATCGTTATGAGTCAGAATTGACAAAATAGCGGGATGTTTGGTTTTTGTTTGGTGCTGCCCCTCACGTAACATGTCTTATGGGAAAAGAGTTTTCAGAAAATAAACTTTAAAATGCGTTGGTTTCAATGGTGTCTCTCTGTTTTCCATCAGGCCTGATGCCTATGCAACAACAAGGATATCCGGTGGTCTCTGTCATGCAGCCTAATATGCAAGGCATGATGGGAATGAATTACAGCACTCAAATGTCCCAAGGACCTATTGCTATGCAGGTACATGCTTCATCTGATTGTTTACAGAGTTATTGTTCATTACGTACTATGTGCCAAGAGCTAAATGTTATATTTAGAAATAATTATAGTCTGCATCAAGACCAAATGAAGATAAATCCACAAAAATGAGAGAAAACAAGAGAAGCCATCTAGGGGAAACCTGGTAACTTCTTTATCTGGATACTAACTTAGACAAATCTAGAAAGACCTTTTGGAAATTCCTTGGGAATGTTTCCGTGAAGTGCCATTGTAAGATGTAGCACTGTTCTCATGGAAAAAGTGTGTCATTGCTCGGGAAGCTCAGAGCTCTCACAACTACGACTCTTTGGATTGAGCTGGTTCACAGAGTTCTCTTAACAGCTCTGAAAGGGCAGTGTCTTAGTGAAGTAGGAGGTTTGAACAGAAATACCAAGAGTGAAAAATCTTACCATAGTGAATGATGGGGGGAGTGCGGAGTGGAGATCCAAAGCCCATTAGTAGGCCACTGGAGATCCCCTTGCAGAGGGGTCTCGGGGAGGAGATAAGCCAGTCAGGGTGCGATATAGCAACGATGAGAAATACAACTTTCCTCTAGTTCCTAAATGTTTCCTCCCCGCTCCCACTACCATGACTCGAATTTGACCTTGCAAGTCTGGCTAGACCAGAGGATGTACACTGGTACAGATAGGAACTGAAAATACAGGGAATCCAGGGCGGATGAGCCCTGCAGGACCAGTGGTGTGAGTGGCGAAACAGGGAGGGTAAAGGGAGAATGGGTAGGAAAGAGGGAACCGATTACAAGGAACTATATGTGACCTCCTCCCTGGGGGACAGACAACCGAAAAGTGGGTGAAGGGAGATGTCAGACAGGGCAAGATATGACAAAATACCCATTTATAAACTATCAAGGGCTCATGAGGGAGGGGGGAGCGGGGAGGGAGGGGAAAAATGAGGACCTAATGTCGGGGGTTTAAGTGGAGAGAAAATGTTTTGAGAATGATGTACAAATGCGCTTTACACAATTGATGTGTGTATGGATTGCAATACAGTTGTATGAGCCCCTAATAAAAGGTTTTAAAAAAAATTACCAAGAGTGGCTGGCTTCTCAGACGGAAGTATGTCCTCTCAGCGGTGAGGGCACCAGCTCCACGGGGAGGGCTTCTCTCGTCATCATTCTGGCCCTGAGTCGCGGGTTTTCTCAGCACAGGGATCTCAGGATCAAAGGATACACTCTGCTCCTGGTTCTACTTTCTTGGGGGTAGGAGGAGGATGTCCCTTTGACCTCATTTTTGGAAAACCTTTTCTATCTCAAAAGAGAAGATGCAAGCTAATCCTACCATTCCTTAGCATAAGTGCCACTAATTGTGCCTCATTGACACCCTAAAGATTAGAATTTACAACCCCTAGAACAATTGCATCCTACCACAAAATGGAGAAAAATTGCCTAATGCTAACCGTCACGGCCTAAGCAAGTTGACATACGTTGTGTGAGGGACGCACTTCAGTCTGTAGCAGGTGGCAGCTCCACTATTGGGATGAGGAAACAGGTGAGCTGGGATTTGAACTTAAGTCTTCAGTACCTCTGCAGGGTTCTCCAGATTATATCATATTAGCCCAGTTGGCATTGGTGTATTGATTATGATGCTGCTGAAGTATTTACCACATGCTACATATGAAAAGCAAGAAGGAAGCTGTATTAGACATTGCTGAGGGGGGAAAAGAGTACCAGGCTGTCTGCTAGAAGGCGTCACAGAGGGCATTCATTTGGTTGATAAAATGATGTCTCAAAACTTGACTTTGTCAGCAGATGAATAGACTTCTGTCTTAAAGGGTCCAGCAGTAACTTCGTACATAAGACTGCTGGATACAATCCGAATGATACTTTATCCATTTACAGCTAATCACACAAGAGGTGGCACATGTGGTAAGAACATGCATAAAAGACTTATCTTGGCCTTGGGAGTCAAAAGTCTCTCAGGAAATTGAATTTAAGTTGAATATGAATGAAAAGTAGTTGTTAGCCAGATGAAGAGATGGGAGAAGAGCATACTGACAGGAGTTACATGCAGAGAACGACCCTAAGCTAGCAGGGAAGGTGGCATATTTGAGCAACTGAGGCATTTGTGAACCCCTGAATATTTTAAAGCAGTGGAGGATACGATTAGATTTGTATCTAAAAGATTCTTTTGCCTGTTATTTGGGGAATGGAGGGAGAGAAGAGAACAAGAAGAGATGTAGGGGCAATCGTTTAAATGCTGACGTAGGGAGAGGAGGTTAGAAAATGGTGGTGACTTAAATTAGGGTGGTGGCAGAAGATAGAGAGATGGATGGTTTTGAGAACTAATTGAGAAATGAATTAGCACTTGCTGAGTGATTGGATGTTGGAAATAAAGGATAATATCAAGCTGACTCCCAGTTTTCCACCTGAGTAACACATTGAGGATGCTATTAATAAAAGAAACGTTGGAGAAACTTGTTTGATGATGTATGTTGACTTTGAAAACTCATGGAACATTCAAGTGAAGCTGTGCAGGTGCCGTTTAATAAATTAAGCAGGAACTCTGGTTGAAGAGTACAGGTGTGGGCGTCGTCAACATGTAGCTTGATGCCAGAGGGGTAACATGGGAACATCCATAAAGTCTATAGACGGCTAGTCCAGGTAGAACCTTCGAGATGCAGCACGTAACTCTCAGAATGCAGTGCTAGTAAAGAATATCAGAAGAGCAGTCACAGAAGTAAGGAGAAAATAAAACACCGTGGAAAATATGCCATTAAAGCCAAGGGAACAGGAATTTTTAAGAGAAGACAAATTGTTAATTCTGGCTAAGTCACTGGCTAAAGCAAATTACAAGGTTGTGCCTAACCTAACTAAGGAAATGCAACCTTGCCATGTGCTGCCCAGAGAGCAGAGAATCAGATACACTGGTGAGAGCACACGTGTCTATCATAATACATTCTAAATCTGTATCAAGTTTTTTAATGGCTGAGTAATATTTCATACTATAGTTTTACCATCATTTCCCTATTGATGAATAGTCATATTGTCCATTGGATTTCACAAAACAAGACTCACTGGTAATGAAGGTGAAAGCAATTTTGATGGAGTGTTGGGGAGAGGGTCAAAGCCAAATTAGAATGGATTAAGGAATTAAATGGAAGGTAAGAAAATGAAGACGATATAGACAGTCCTTGGGAGAGCAAGATGATGGATGCATTCTCTGTGTATTCAAATCATATGAGAAATCAAATCAGAAGTCATTTGGTAGATTTTCAGTAAGAAAATCAATGTCCCAGAGATTTGAAATACTGACTTACATGATAGGTGTGTTCCTTTATATATACTGGAAGCAGGATGGCTTAGCATGCATGGACATTAGAGTGACCAAGCATGGGTTTACCCCGTTTATGCCACATGTTACCACAGTCACTGATTCTAGAATGACCTACCCCACCCCCCATGTGTTAACACACATGAAGTCAGAACGCATCTTATAAGGACTGGCGTCTTAGAATTGCTGTCATCTGTTCATTGCCTGTACACATATGAACTTACTCATAGCTATTTAAAGTAAAGGGATAGGGAAAAATATACAATATAAATACAAACAAAAAGAGCTAATATAGCAATTTAAAAAATCAGACCACAAATAGATTTTAAGGCAAAAACCATTACAAGTCTATAGGTAAAGAAACTTGATAAAAACCTACATTCACAAAAAATATAGATAGCAGTTCCAAATTTATAGACACCCAAGTGCATTGGACTGCTAACCACAAGGTCAGCAGTTTGAAGGCACCAGTCACTCCAGGGGAGAAAGAAGAAGCTTTCTACTCCCGTAAAGGTTTCCAGTATCAGAAACCCACAGAGGCAGTTCTACCCTGCCCTGTAAGGCTGCTATGAATCAGAATCACTGTGATTGCAGTGAGTTTTTGGGGAACTGTATAAAGAAAGGACAGAATAACAGAAATGGGCAAATCTACAGTCAGTAAAGATTTAGGTTTGAACAACCTTCTACACAAGTGACTAATGGACATATAGGGTACTCTTCCCGACAACTGCCTAAGACACTTTGCTTTTTAGCATTCATGAAATCATTCTAGAAAGTGACCATATAGTGACCCATCGCAAATTTCACCACATAGCATAGTGTTAAAACCAGGCCATTAAACTAATTCAATCCAGTTTGACCTCTTGCTGATCATTTGCTTTTTTATCACAGATAAACTGGCTCAGAATCTCTTTTTAACAAGATCCCCGGTGATTCTTACAGATCATCTATGTATGTGTATGTGCGCGCGCACACAGACACGAATCACCTGGGAATCTTGTTAAGCTAGATTCTCACTGAATATATCTGGAGTAGAAACAGAAATTCTCAGTATGGAGGTTGAACTGGAATGATGCAGTTCAAAGCCCCGATTTAAACCTTACATAGAATCATGCTGAATTTACTTGAGATTTGTGATCAAGAATTTAAAGCAAATACCTAGTGTGTTCTGACCAGCACAATCCAGCTGTTTGTAAGATAAGAGAAGGGACTTAATTAACTCTAACCAAGGATGGGGTTTCCTAGGAGACGATCTTTAAGGATGTCTGCAAGGGTATTATAATGCTGAACCCTGGAATGAAAGCTGGCCATGAAAAGGGAATGAATCGTGGGAAAAGTGGTAGAGTAAGATTAATGGATGGTGGATATCAATGAAGTAAGAACATTTCTGGAATGAATATATGAGCTGGGAAGATAGGAGTTAATGGCTAAGTGGTAAGACACTTCAAGTCAAGGTTTTAGCGATGATAACAGTTGGCTGACCGGCACTCCTAAGGCCAAGGGTCCAACAGGGCCATGGGAAACTGGTTGGTGGTGGTGAGGGATCTGGGTCCGTGAGGTGAGACCACAGTGGTAATAGCCTTCCATGTGATTGGTGACATCACCTAGAACAGTGCAAGAATAGAATGGGAACAGCCAAGTTCTGAAGGCATCAGTTGAGGAGAGAGGGAGTTGAGCATCAGTACATGACATAACAAGGTAGGGTAGTAAGTAATGAAATCTGGTAGCAAAAAATGTAGCCAGGTTTTTAATGGGAGAGGGGAAAAGGCTTTAAGAAAGGACTATTCCCCCAGCATTCCACTAGGAAGCTGAACCTCCAAATGAAGGGGCTTCAGAGGAGAGCCAGCCTTCAGTTAGGGGCAAAAGGGGATCCTTTTACCAATAGAGGAGGTTCTAGTTAGCTGCTCTTATTGTTATTATCACTAATATTGTGGATTTTATGACTAGCTTTTATGTTACACTCTTCTTCTATCTGCATACTTCAAAAAGCTTCGTTCTGTTGTATTGATATATATCGGTGATTAAATATAGGATGAAGGAGTGGTTAAAGCAAAACCATATGGGTAGTTCTATTCTGGTATATAGGGTCACTATGAGTCAGAATAGACACTCAGCCATGGATTTGGTGTTTGGGGAAGTATATTTTATTTTCTGTGAAAGTTTGCGTATTGAACACAGAGTAATGAACATCAAAACATTCATTCAGTTATCAAATTCCTTTTGTGGAATGATTCCTGTATATAAAGTCTTCGCTGTTGTTGAACTATGTAACATATGCTAGCTCTCCTCCTGGACTATGGATTAGTGAGCTCATAACCAAGTCAATTCAGACTCATAGTGACCTGATAGGACAGGGTGGAACTACCCCTGTAAATTCCTGAGACTAACTTTTTAAAAATCATTTTATTGGGAGCTCATACAGCTCTTATCACAATCTATACGTACATCAATGTGTAAAGCACATTTGCCTTCATCATTCTGAAAACATTTACTCTTCACTTAAGCCCTTGGCAACAGCTTCTCATTTTTCCCCTCTCCCCGCTCCCCCCTCCCTCATGAACCCTTGATAATTTATAAGTTATTATTTTGTCATATCTTGCCCTGTCCAATGTCTGCCATCACTGTTACTGTTTATGAGAGTAGAAAACCCTATCTTTCTCCCACAGAGCGACTGGTGGTTTCAAATTGCTGGCCTGTAGTTAGCTGCCCAGTGGGCGACCACTCTGCCACCAGGGCTCCTCTAGTGAATATCAGTTAGGAATATAAATTGGGAATGCATCTTACTTACACACAAAGCTTGGAAGATTTTACACACACTCTCTCTCTCTCCAGAGAGTTAACCGTGTGGCTCTTTAAGAAAACAAAAGAAATGGAAGTGGGGGAGATGTTAAGAGGAGCCTATGTTCCTTAAATCTTTTATAAGACTGCATTAATATATAGTGGACAAATTAAAAACGAATGTATGGAAGTTGCAGTTTTTCTTTGTGCTAGTTAAAAGGAGAACTTAACTTTTGAATTTACTCTTTCGTCTGTTTCTTCTAGGCAGGGATACCAGTGGGACCAATACCAGCAGCTGGGATTCCTTACATGGGACAAGCACCATTCCTGGGACTGCGTCCTCCAGGCCCACAGTACACTCCAGACATGCAGAAACAGTTTGCTGAAGAGCAGCAGTAAGAGATCTCTAGGATTCAAGGAGAGCAAGGAAGCATGAAACCTATTATTTTAGAGTGTGTCTTTGAAAACTTAAAAAAAAACAACCTTTCACTTTAAGTTTAGAGCCAAAAGAAGAGACTTTAGAGATCCTCTGCTTCATCCTTCTCATTTCACATCTATAGGCACTTGGGTGGCTCAAGCAGTTTGCGATGGGTAGCTAACCTAAAGGCAGCAGTGCAAACCTACCAAGTGACTCTGGAAGAAAGGCCTGGCAAACTCCTACAGTAAAGTTTACAGCCAAGAAAACCTATGGAGCATTTAGATTGTGTAACATCGGGGGCACAGGGAGTGGCCATCAACCCCGTAGCTTCTGGTTCAGTGTGGGTCTCAGAGACTGCGATAGGAGTCAGCATCAACTGGATAGCAGCAGGGTATTTGGTTGTTTGGTTCACATCTGGGCAAGTGAGTTCCAGAGAAATGAGGCAACTTATCAATAAAGGAGTATTGGTTTCTTAGTGATACAGTTAGCACAATAGCTCAAGTGGATGGTTTTTAAAAAACAAAGTTTATTTTCTGAGACTGGAAGTCTGAATTCACTGCATGGGCTCTAGAGAAAGGCTCACTCTGTCACGTTAGGGGCAATCCTCATCTCAACTTTTCTGATGTTCTTTGGAGTGCTCCACATGACATCTGTCTTTCCTCGCTTCTGTGCCGACTTTGCTGTTTTCATAGCTCAAAACTGATTAGCTTGGGTCCTGCCATACACTGCTATGGTCTCACAAAAAAGAAAACCTTATTCCAAAATGGGATTGTAGCTACATATGTAGGGTTAGGAGTCAAACATACATATGAGGGGACACAGTTCAGTCCATTGCACATTGTTACACAAATCAAAGGCTGGACCCAAGTGTAGGAATCCCGAGCCCCAGAGATCATTGTGCTTTCTCTCCTCCGACACCATTTTCTCCAGTGAGTTACTTTTCTGTGTGCAGAACAAAGGCCTTTTATGTGTGTCTATCTGTTCTCTGAGATTACGTTTATATGAAAAAAATTGCCTTTTCCCTGGCACGTTATGTAGATAAATCATTTTTAGACTTTTCAAATATTTTGAGATGACTATAGTGGGGGAGCAGCGTCCTCATAAGAATACAGTTACACACTCACTGCCTCACTCTCTCACTGCTTCACTCTCACTCACCCACTGCCTCACTCACTCACTGTCTCACTCACTCACTACCTCACTCTCTCACTGCCTCACTCACTCACTGCCTCCCTCACTCACTGTCTCACTCTCTCACTGCCTCACTCTCTTACTGTAAAAAGAAGAATAAAATTAAAAAGAATACAGTTAGATACAATCACTTTGGAGGAGTGCCTAGGGCTACAGATAGCTGCAAGGTGAATGGCTAAAACCATTAGTAGCAATCCAAGTCTAGCACAGTTGATAATCCCTGGAGTTGGATCTTCACTAGATTGTATTTCCTATAGAAAACGATTTGAGCAGCAGCAAAAGCTCTTAGAAGAAGAAAGAAAAAGACGCCAGTTTGAAGAGCAGAAGCAAAAGCTCAGACTTCTGAGCAGTGTAAAACCCAAGGTAATGTAGCCACACTGTCGGCCCGCATGTGCCTCTTCTCATTCTTTTATGGCTGAAACAGTGGCCCGCACTGGGCCTGTGGTTGATTAATTTTGGTTTCTCAGGTCCCAGAGTGAAAGATTTTCTTTTACTATAAAGATGCCCTGTTGTTGAGGATTCGGTTATCAGCCATTCTTTCCCCAGTCCATTCTGTAATCTCGGCACTGTCTGTCATCTTTTCTTGGGACACATTGCTCCGAGCCTGTTGTGTGCTATGAAGCTGAGTCTGCCTCACAGCCACCCTACGGAACAGCAAAACTGCCCGGTCCGTTTTCTACGTCGGTAATCATTGTGAAAGCAGACTGCTACATCTGCTGTCACAGAGCAGCGAGTGGTTTCCGACAACCCATATTTCAGTTAGCAGTGAGCACTAAACCACTGTGCCACCGGGGCGGGCGCCTCAATCTTAAACTGACTAATAATAAAAATGAGTTTCTCATTTAAAAAATATTTTATTGTGCTCTGGATGAAAACTTGCATAGCAAATTAATTTTCCAATTAAGAGTTTCTACACTAATTGTTCCATGACATTGGCTGCAATACCCACAGTGTGTCAGCAACTCCCTCTGTTTCCTGGGTTCCCATTCCTGTTCCCTGTTTCCCTGCCCACCTTATCATCTCATCTTTGGTCTCATATGATTGATGATTCTAACAGCATATTCTTCATGGGTTATATTGTTTTATATTTCCATCTATTATTTGGCCAAAAGGTGCCCTTCGGGAATATCTGAAATAAGGTTTCTTAATTTTTAGGACATTTAATGTGTAGTAGCTATATCCGCAAGTATTTACAAACGGGCCTTTTAATATCTTTATATTCAACAGAGTATCAGGTTATATCCTTGTTTTCTGTATTTATCAAAGATTTTTTGACTTAGAGAATTAATTTTGGTAAAAATGCCGGAAATAGATTCAGATATCTACTTTGGGAGGGTTGAGAAGGAAGCCAAAGAGAAGTGAAGAGACATACCTATTGTTGTTTCTCTCTTAGATAGGAGAGAAGAGTAGAGATGACGCTTTGGAAGCCATCAAAGGAAACCTAGATGGGTTTTCCAGAGATGCTAAGATGCACCCTACTCCAGCCTCGCACCCCAAGAAACCAGGTAGTTTTCATTTTCGGAAAATGTTAGAGTGATCTCTTTGAAGATGATTATTTAGTTCCTGTAATTGACTGTTAAATGCATGCTAAGAACCAGACCACCACTTGTCTGTGGTATCTTTCATGTTGCTGTGATGCTGGAAGCTATCCCACCAGTATAAGGGTCACCCAGGGGGACAAGTTTCATGTAGCTTCCAAACTGAGCCAGACTAAGAAGAAGGACCGGGAACCTACTTCTGGAAAAATTGGCCAGTGAAAACCTTAGTTGAGTCAGAACACTGTCTGAAGTAGTATGGAGCCTCCAACCGAAGGGGGTGCAGCAGAACAGCAAGGGAACGGAGCGGCGAGGTCCCCAGGGAATGCTG